GCATGCTGACTGTGGTGGTATCCTGCTATGACTACAGCATTGCATGCTGACTGTGGTGGTATCCTGCTATGACTACAGCATTGCATGCTGACTGTGGTGGTATCCTGCTATGACTACAGCATTGCATGCTGACTGTGGTGGTATCCTGCTATGACTACAGCATTGCATGCTGACTGTGGTGGTATCCTGCTATGACTACAGCATTGCATACTGACTGTGGTGGTATCCTGCTATGACTACAGCATTGCATGCTGACTGTGGTGGTATCCTGCTATGACTACAGCATTGCATGCTGACTGTGGTGGTATCCTGCTATGACTACAGCATTGCATGCTGACTGTGGTGGTATCCTGCTATGACTACAGCATTGCATGCTGACTGTGGTGGTATCCTGCTATGACTACAGCATTGCATGCTGACTGTGGTGGTATCCTGCTATGACTACAGCATTGCATGCTGACTGTGGTGGTATCCTGCTATGACTACAGCATTGCATGCTGACTGTGGTGGTATCCTGCTATGACTACAGCATTGCATAGCTGACTGTGGTGGTATCCTGCTATGACTACAGCATTGCATGCTGACTGTGGTGGTATCCTGCTATGACTACAGCATTGCATGCTGACTGTGGTGGTATCCTGCTATGACTACAGCATTGCATGCTGACTGTGGTGGTATCCTGCTATGACTACAGCATTGCATGCTGACTGTGGTGGTATCCTGCTATGACTACAGCATTGCATGCTGACTGTGGTGGTATCCTGCTATGACTACAGCATTGCATGCTGACTGTGGTGGTATCCTGCTATGACTACAGCATTGCATACTGACTGTGGTGGTATCCTGCTATGACTACAGCATTGCATGCTGACTGTGGTGGTATCCTGCTATGACTACAGCATTGCATGCTGACTGTGGTGGTATCCTGCTATGACTACAGCATTGCATGCTGACTGTGGTGGTATCCTGCTATGACTACAGCATTGCATGCTGACTGTGGTGGTATCCTGCTATGACTACAGCATTGCATGCTGACTGTGGTGGTATCCTGCTATGACTACAGCATTGCATGCTGACTGTGGTGGTATCCTGCTATGACTACAGCATTGCATGCTGACTGTGGTGGTATCCTGCTATGACTACAGCATTGCATGCTGACTGTGGTGGTATCCTGCTATGACTACAGCATTGCATACTGACTGTGGTGGTATCCTGCTATGACTACAGCATTGCATGCTGACTGTGGTGGTATCCTGCTATGACTACAGCATTGCATGCTGACTGTGGTGGTATCCTGCTATGACTACAGCATTGCATGCTGACTGTGGTGGTATCCTGCTATGACTACAGCATTGCATGCTGACTGTGGTGGTATCCTGCTATGACTACAGCATTGCATGCTGACTGTGGTGGTATCCTGCTATGACTACAGCATTGCATGCTGACTGTGGTGGTATCCTGCTATGACTACAGCATTGCATGCTGACTGTGGTGGTATCCTGCTATGACTACAGCATTGCATGCTGACTGTGGTGGTATCCTGCTATGACTACAGCATTGCATACTGACTGTGGTGGTATCCTGCTATGACTACAGCATTGCATGCTGACTGTGGTGGTATCCTGCTATGACTACAGCATTGCATGCTGACTGTGGTGGTATCCTGCTATGACTACAGCATTGCATGCTGACTGTGGTGGTATCCTGCTATGACTACAGCATTGCATGCTGACTGTGGTGGTATCCTGCTATGACTACAGCATTGCATGCTGACTGTGGTGGTATCCTGCTATGACTACAGCATTGCATGCTGACTGTGGTGGTATCCTGCTATGACTACAGCATTGCATGCTGACTGTGGTGGTATCCTGCTATGACTACAGCATTGCATGCTGACTGTGGTGGTATCCTGCTATGACTACAGCATTGCATGCTGACTGTGGTGGTATCCTGCTATGACTACAGCATTGCATGCTGACTGTGGTGGTATCCTGCTATGACTACAGCATTGCATGCTGACTGTGGTGGTATCCTGCTATGACTACAGCATTGCATACTGACTGTGGTGGTATCCTGCTATGACTACAGCATTGCATGCTGACTGTGGTGGTATCCTGCTATGACTACAGCATTGCATACTGACTGTGGTGGTATCCTGCTATGACTACAGCATTGCATGCTGACTGTGGTGGTATCCTGCTATGACTACAGCATTGCATGCTGACTGTGGTGGTATCCTGCTATGACTACAGCATTGCATGCTGACTGTGGTGGTATCCTGCTATGACTACAGCATTGCATGCTGACTGTGGTGGTATCCTGCTATGACTACAGCATTGCATGCTGACTGTGGTGGTATCCTGCTATGACTACAGCATTGCATGCTGACTGTGGTGGTATCCTGCTATGACTACAGCATTGCATGCTGACTGTGGTGGTATCCTGCTATGACTACAGCATTGCATGCTGACTGTGGTGGTATCCTGCTATGACTACAGCATTGCATGCTGACTGTGGTGGTATCCTGCTATGACTACAGCATTGCATGCTGACTGTGGTGGTATCCTGCTATGACTACAGCATTGCATGCTGACTGTGGTGGTATCCTGCTATGACTACAGCATTGCATGCTGACTGTGGTGGTATCCTGCTATGACTACAGCATTGCATGCTGACTGTGGTGGTATCCTGCTATGACTACAGCATTGCATGCTGACTGTGGTGGTATCCTGCTATGACTACAGCATTGCATGCTGACTGTGGTGGTATCCTGCTATGACTACAGCATTGCATGCTGACTGTGGTGGTATCCTGCTATGACTACAGCATTGCATGCTGACTGTGGTGGTATCCTGCTATGACTACAGCATTGCATGCTGACTGTGGTGGTATCCTGCTATGACTACAGCATTGCATGCTGACTGTGGTGGTATCCTGCTATGACTACAGCATTGCATGCTGACTGTGGTGGTATCCTGCTATGACTACAGCATTGCATGCTGACTGTGGTGGTATCCTGCTATGACTACAGCATTGCATGCTGACTGTGGTGGTATCCTGCTATGACTACAGCATTGCATGCTGACTGTGGTGGTATCCTGCTATGACTACAGCATTGCATGCTGACTGTGGTGGTATCCTGCTATGACTACAGCATTGCATGCTGACTGTGGTGGTATCCTGCTATGACTACAGCATTGCATGCTGACTGTGGTGGTATCCTGCTATGACTACAGCATTGCATGCTGACTGTGGTGGTATCCTGCTATGACTACAGCATTGCATGCTGACTGTGGTGGTATCCTGCTATGACTACAGCATTGCATGCTGACTGTGGTGGTATCCTGCTATGACTACAGCATTGCATGCTGACTGTGGTGGTATCCTGCTATGACTACAGCATTGCATGCTGACTGTGGTGGTATCCTGCTATGACTACAGCATTGCATGCTGACTGTGGTGGTATCCTGCTATGACTACAGCATTGCATGCTGACTGTGGTGGTATCCTGCTATGACTACAGCATTGCATGCTGACTGTGGTGGTATCCTGCTATGACTACAGCATTGCATACTGACTGTGGTGGTATCCTGCTATGACTACAGCATTGCATGCTGACTGTGGTGGTATCCTGCTATGACTACAGCATTGCATGCTGACTGTGGTGGTATCCTGCTATGACTACAGCATTGCATGCTGACTGTGGTGGTATCCTGCTATGACTACAGCATTGCATGCTGACTGTGGTGGTATCCTGCTATGACTACAGCATTGCATGCTGACTGTGGTGGTATCCTGCTATGACTACAGCATTGCATGCTGACTGTGGTGGTATCCTGCTATGACTACAGCATTGCATGCTGACTGTGGTGGTATCCTGCTATGACTACAGCATTGCATGCTGACTGTGGTGGTATCCTGCTATGACTACAGCATTGCATGCTGACTGTGGTGGTATCCTGCTATGACTACAGCATTGCATGCTGACTGTGGTGGTATCCTGCTATGACTACAGCATTGCATGCTGACTGTGGTGGTATCCTGCTATGACTACAGCATTGCATGCTGACTGTGGTGGTATCCTGCTATGACTACAGCATTGCATGCTGACTGTGGTGGTATCCTGCTATCATACTTGCCGACATGCAACCAACGTACTGTATATTAAACTGTAATTGGCCGATTCTAAATAAATCTACAACCTTCAATTCCTTTGCGCGATTTAAAGAATCGGTTCTTGGCACGCTCGGGTTTTATTTTGTTTTAAATTAATGAGTTATCTTTTAATTTGCATGTCATCTTTTCAAGTTTTCAGACGTTTAAAATATATATATTTTCCCGCTTGTATTAGTATATAAAGACTCTATAGCACAAAGTACTCACCTGACAGAGTGCCGTGACGAGGCCCAGTCCCGTGCACAGCCCCCAGCCTCGCCTAGATTGCCCGGCCGGCCGAGGCTGGAGGCTGGGCCGCTACACCCCCCCCCCCCCCGCGCTACAATATTCCTATTTAATCGCTATAAATTTAGTATCTACCGACCCTATAATAGTAAGTGCACACATTGGGGTGGAGGGAGAGAGAAGAGGACGTGACACTTTGATGAATTTACCTCAGCGTTGCGTGTACATTTTTTTGCATTTTGAACGCGAATGAGAAATGGCGTCCACCATGCAGCGACGGCGTCTGTGCGTTGCCATTGGCAACACGCGTCGGCGTTTCGTGCATGCGCAACAGCGAGCCGGTCGGCAAAAGTAAATAAATAAATATAAATCGCACCAAACGCGATTTAACCACTTTAAAGTTTAGGGATGGGAAAACGAAATAGCCTATTCCCACCGCGGGGCCTGGGGCTAACCGCCCGGCTATTCTTTTTTCTACGCAAACCCCACGGTCGGAGAGCCAAATCCCCCGCAAGCGAGCGATGCAGACAGAGGGACAGACAGACGGACAGACAAAACAATCCTTTTATAGGTTAGATAGTTTTGGTTGCATGGCCACAATCGCACTCCTATGGCCTGTCTGTCATTTTCCATTCATGAAGCAGATATATGCATCAGCCTGTTGATGACCTGATGGGGTTGATGGTTACAGAAGTATTTTTGAGGAATATCAAATCCATAAATTATTCACTTTAAAAGCAGAGATCCCTTGTGAATATTGGAGTGCAGAAGAACCTCCACTAGACGGAGCGGTGTCCTCCCAGAGGCCAATGAAAATGACTCACCTGCTGTGTGGACGTGTCGTTCTGCGCCGGCAATAGTGTGGCATAGATCTGCATCGCTTCTATGGCTATCTTACTGTTGTTGAATGCAATTGACATCCATAACATTCCGTCGGGCGGTGCGATGTTGCTGGCTAAGTTCTCGAACCCACTCACATCCGGCGGGTGGACCTGCGTCAAGATTCATCACACGTGGAAATCATCAGCACCACTTGGCTATTCAGGGTATTAAAGACACGTATCGTCCATTATTCAACATTTTTACTTTGACAGTAGTTCCAATCGTGCGGTTTAATAGTGGTAAAATACGTTTCTTACACAACAGAGTATTGGGTGTATTGTTTCTCTTCTAATTAACACGTAGTAGGCATTCGCGACCAAAATCATTCATAATAAAGGGATTTTTTTTAGTTTGGTCGCATAAATATAAATATGTCGTTAAACCCGCCACCACCCAAAACAGCCAATTAGTAAGGTTTGTCACGCAAACAAAACATGCCAATTCGTTACTAGTTTAGCACATGCATGTGTTGAAGCGTAAACCCACGAGACTTACAATTTGAGTACGACGTTTCGCCAGTAATTACAATTAGCATCATCAGGCAACAGCCAAAGTAATGGAGAAATCCTATTGTTTCGGTCGTAACTTGTGAGCCAATCACCTGGGAAGGCCAGAGGGGGGTGGGGATGATTACCAGGATTTCTCCACAACTCTGGCTGTCGCCTGATAATGATGGTTGTAATTACTGATGAAACGTCGTACTCGAATTGTAGATGTTGTGGGTTTTTCCCAATACACAAGTGTGCTGAACTGATTACTGATTGGCATGTTTTGTTTACGTGACAAACCTTACTAATTGGCTATTTCGGGTGGTAGCGGATTTAATGACACATTTGACTCACCTCTAAGGGGCTAATGGTTTTGGAAGCTGCGTCGCTGAACATTAGTTTGGCATGTCAGAATTCTGCCAATTGAAGGCGCCGTAGCTTCCTGTGAATGCTCGGTTCGCAGACAGAACAGCCGCAATCATTGGCTGAGTGTATGCATTACATCACCTACCGTTCAATAAGAGCTACACTTCGCCTTTTAGGATCACCATGGCAGAGCACTCTGCCCATTTAACACACTGCTGGTTCCCAAGTGCATTAAGGTGATAAGTGTTAGCTGCACTTGCTATGATGTATTTTTTACGATGGAAATATCTATTTTCATGACTTGTCATTGACCGCTTTGAGTTGGTTGAGATGTGAATCCTAGAGCCGTAGTTAAGCACCAACCTTCATGGGGGATTTCCAGATGGAACAGTCTGTGTAGATGTCACAGACGTAGACGCTCAGCAGGAGAGAGTAATCGTTGAGTGGATCGCCGACCGGAAGGAGTAAATTCCGCATCTCTTTAATCCAGCTCGTGTGCACAATACGTTCACGCTGCCTTACTAACGTGGACACCTGGTAGAAGAATCCCAGATCCTGATCTACCACGCTATTCTGGAGGAGCGCATCGCCCTCATCCAGCCAGCCATCGCATATGATCGTAAAGAGTGTCATGCTGGCGATGCCTGCAGGAACAGTCAGCCAAGTCAACCTAACAGGGAGGTTTGCGACAGGTTCAAGTATTTCCACTGATCTCAGCCTCGAGTGTAAATTAAATTCAGGTCACCAGGTGTACAGAGGGGCGTGTTGTCAGCTCCGCACACAATCACACACGCACCTTCTAGATGTTCCATCTTACATGTGCCTTGGTAAGGGGGGAAGTTCGTTGTCAATTGAAACACGGCAGTTGAAGACCTTCCCGAGATGGTGACTTCGACTTGGACAATAAGGGAAAATCCACTTAGCAATGCATTACTCTTCACTTCCAGGACCATAGAATGAACACCTGAAGGGAAATACAAGAGCACACAATTAGAAAGGAAAGTGTCTCTACTGAGACATATAGGGAGAGTGTCTCTACTGAGACAAAGAGGGAGATGTTCTCTAAACAGAGGTGAGTGCTCTAGTGAGACACAAAGGAGAGTGTCTCTACTGAGACATAGAGGGAGAGTGTTCTACTGAGACAAAGAGGGAGAGTGTCTCTACTGAGACAGAGGGAGAGTCTCTGAGACACAAAGGGAGAATGTCTCTACTGAGACAGAGGGAGAGTGTCTACTGAGACACAGAGGGAGAGTGTCTTACTGAGACCAGAGGGAGAGTACCTCTACTGAGACCCAGAGGGAGAATGTCTCTACTGAGACACAGAGGGAGAGTGCATCTACTGAGACACAGAGGAAGAGTGTCTCTACTGAGACCCAGAGGGAGAAGTCTCTATTGAGACCCAGAGGGAGTGTCTCTACTGACACACAGAGGAGAGTGTCTCTACTGAGATACAGAGGGAAGTGTCTCTACTGAGACACAGAGGGAGAGTGTCTCTACTGAGACCCAGACGGAGAGTGTCTCTACTGAGACACAGATGGAGAGTGTCTCTACTGGGACACAGAGGGAGAGTGTTTCTACTGAGACAGAGGGAGAATGCCTCTACTGAGACTCAGAAGGAGGTGTCTCCACTGAGACACTGAGCGAGAGTTTTTCTACTGAGACCCAGAGGGAGAGTATCTCTAAGACACAGAGGGAGAGTGTCTCTACTGAGACACGGAGGGAGAGTGTCTCTACTGAGACACAGAGGGAGAGTGTCTCTACTGAGACCCAGAGGGAGAGTGTCTCTACTGAGACACAGAGGGAGAATGTCTCTACTGAGACACAGAGGGAGAGTGTCTCTACTGAGACACAGACAGATAGTGTTTCTACTTAGACACAGAGGGAGAGTCTCTCTACTGAGAACAGAGGAAGTGTGTCTCTACTGAGACCCAGAAGGAGAGTCTCTCTACTGAGACCAGAGGGATAGTGTCTCTACTGAGACACAGAGGGAGAGTGTATCTACTGAGACCCAGAGGGAAAGTGTCTCTACTGAGACACAGAAGGAGAGTGTATCTACTGAGACACAGAGGGAGAGTTTTTCTCCTGAGATACAGATGGAGTGTCTCTCCTGAGACCCAGATGGAGAGTTTCTCTAAAGAGACGAAGAGGAATTATTTCTCTAATGAGATCCAGAGGGAGAGTGTCTCTACTGAAACGCAGAGAGTGGAATTTACCTGTGTCTGTGAGCGTGTCTAAATTATTGTATTTATAATTATTCAGCTTCCACGAGTATGTCACAACGTCACTGTCTTTGCAGTTCAAGCACACGGCCATCAGAGACAATGGCTGAGTTACTGCGGTCTTGGTCTTGCAGTTTTGGATGCATCTGAGCGAAGTGAGACAAGGAGACTCAGCATACTGCTAATTTTAGTTGAGTTGCATCCCAAAGTTTATTTGGCTGCTTGCCTGAAATGCTTCGAATCAATACCTGTTCACAATGGTTTTTCATCCAAACTTGCATAAAATGTGTTAATCATAATTCATATGATCATCACTAATCGTATAGTTTCAAGAAATATTTCAGCCCCACATTCGCGTCGTGGCAGATGTACATCCATTTACCCTTCACCTTCAGGAGGTTGCTCTTTCTCCTCTGCTGCCCCAATTGGTTTGGAACTCTCTTTACCCAGCCATTGTGCCGCTGTAAGTGCCCCGAGATTGCTAAAAGGGGTTGTACCAAATCGCGAAGAGGCTGGACGCATGGAGGGCACTGTGAGAGATACGATTAGCTTGTACAGGCAGACATCGCTTAGTGCGACCCCGTAAAATGCTGATTCCTTATAGCGCTCTTTGGGAGAAACATTTTTTTTCCGAAAAAAAGAGAAAGTCAAAACATTTACCACTGTACTGCACACTTTCAAGACGCGCTAGCCGAGAACACGTACCCGGCCACCATATTTTCATGCAATCGCTCGACCAATGAAAGCGACGAACGCGCTGAGTCAATCAGCACCCCGCCTTCTACGACTAGATTGTCATGACACATGCGTGTCTCGCTGAACGAACGAGATACGTTCCGAGAAACTTGAGCGAGAGGCAGAAAACTCATTTTCCCATTGACTTACTCCCATGTTAAAAGCTGAACTACGTTTCTTCCCAAAATGTTCCACTCTTGAACAACTTTTCAATGCGAGAAATACAAATCGTAACTTTAAAATAAGGAAACAAAAACATCAAATGTACCACTTAGTTCTCGCAGGTACCTGGCATTTATGTTGTTTTTAAGGTAGAAGTTCTTAGTGCATTTTTATTGAGGGACTGTGTGTGATCTTGGTGTGGTCTGGGACAGTTCTTGCAATTTTTTGCTGCTTTGCTCAAGCTTGGGAATTAGTGTACCTATACAATTTTAACTTTAATATTTCAGCTATTTTTACGTATTTATTTTTTGCGATATACTTTTCTTTCCTATACTTTGCACGCCAATAGTTTTTTTGTGTCTCTCTCGTTGTTGTAACTTTCCAAACCAACCCCTACTGGACATCTGTGAAAGAGCTTCATAGATAATCAGATTTCTTCAGATAAATACATATTCCGATTTTGATAGTGGGTGGAGAGAGCGACAGGGGCGGTGCAGACCACTGGTTCAAATATCACTCACCACTGATGTTAACCGTGGCTTGGAATCGAACTAGGGTTGCTGGGTTAATGGCCATGATACAGCAATGCGAGATGGAGCGTGACTTCTTGCCATCATGTCCGCATTTAATTAGTGCTGCTGCCCACCCCTCCCGCCTGCCCCCCACCCATTGCAGTGTTACCACGAGGCTCCCTTCCCACATAACAAAATACGCGGGCACAGCAAGCTGGTAAACAACAGCTATGGGCCGCCGTGCGCCTCCTGACGGCCCACGGGTGGACATTCGATCGTCGGTCTCTGCTTGCCAAGTGAAAATTTCTCGTTTTTCAAACAAATGGGTCTAAATTCAGATTGCTCGTTATAGCGAATTTTCAAAAAAGAACGCTCGTTAAGCGAGACAAGCCTGTATGTGTCACGATTGCATTTTGAACAATCAATTTGTTATTCACATCATAATAAAGGTTTTTGGGTTAGATCGCGTTATTAATAAATGTGTCGAAACCCTCCACCACCCGACATGGCCAATCAGCAAAATAAAGTGTCACGTTGACAAAAGACAATTAGTTCACTACTTTAGAGCCCACCGGTGGTGTTGAAGAGTGAATCCACAACATTACAGTTTGAATATGACGTTTCGCTGATAATTACATCCAGCATCATCGGCAATTCGCCAGAATGGTAAAGCCGTCACTTGCTCTCGGTCTTAAATAGAGCAGCAGGGTGACGTCATCATTTAATTCATTTCAGGTGCTAGTGAATTGAGGCGGAGGGGGGTATTGTAATTATATAATCGATTGGCAATCAGTCAATGGTTATGATTAGTAATGAGTTGTAGATTGGTAATTAGTTTTAAGGCGTGTTATTGTGATTATATGCTACATTAGTAATCCGTTAATTAATGTTTCCCCTATAATTATTACTGGCAAAGACTAATTAGAGAATTCATTGAAATTTTAGAGAAACAGAAATATTTAATCGTTCTGATAGCTATAGGCTTACTGCGGCTTGAAGCGTATTATTATTGTCTTTTGTCAACGTGACACTTTTTTTTCTATGGATAGTGTTGAATCTATGGGCAGTGTTGAGTCTATGGGCAGTGTTGAGTCTATGGGCAGTGTTGAGTCTATGGGCAGTGTTGAGTCTATGGGCAGTGTTGAGTCTATTGTCAGTGTTGAGTCTATTGGCAGTGTTGAGTCTATGGGCAGTATTGAGTCTATGGGCAGTGTTGGGTCTATGGGGCAGTGTTGAGTCTATGGGCAGTGTTGAGTCTATATGCAGTGTTGAGTCTATGGGCAGTGTTTAGTCTATGGGCAGTGTTGAGTCTATGGGCAGTGTTGAGTCTAATGGGCAGTGTTGAGTCCATGGGCAGTGTTGAGTCTATGGGCAGTGTTGAGTCTATAACAGTGTTGAGTCTATGGGTCAGTGTTGAGTCTATGGGGCAGTGTTGAGTCTATGGGCAGTGTTGAGTCTATGGGCAGTGTTGAGTCTATGGGCAGTGTTGAGTCTATGGGGCAGTGTTGAGTCTATGGACAGTGTTGAGTCTATGGGCAGTGTTGGTCTATGGACAGTGTTGAGTCTATTGGCAGTGTTGAGTCTATGGCAGTGTTGAGTCTATAGGCAGTGTTGAGTCTATGGCAGTGTTGAGTCTATGGGGCAGTGTTGAGTCTATGGGCAGTGTTGAGTCTATGGGCAGTGTTGAGTCTATGGGCAGTGTTGAGTCTATGGGCAGTGTTGGGTCTATGGACAGTGTTGAGTCTATGGCAGTGTTGAGTCTATGGGCAGTGTTGAGTCTATAGGCAGTGTGAGTCTATGGGCAGTGTTGAGTCTATGGGCAGTGTTGAGTCTATGGGGCAGTGTTGAGTCTATGGGGCAGTGTTGAGTCTATGGGGCAGTGTGAGTCTATGGGGCAGTGTTGAGTCTATGGGGCAGTGTTGAGTCTATGGGGCAGTGTTGAGTCTATGGGCAGTGTTGAGTCTATGGGGCAGTGTTGAGTCTATGGGGCAGTGTTGAGTCTATGGGCAGTGTTGAGTCTATGGGGCAGTGTTGAGTCTATGGGGCAGTGTTGAGTCTATTGGGGGGGGAGAGCGTTTGACGTGAGTTTTAACTCAAATTTTCTGCTGCAGAACTTCCTCACCCGTTTCGAGGAGAGGGCAGGGGAGAAGCCCCTGACTTCCATGAGGGCGCGACTGCTATCAGACCTGGAAACGAAGGTGGTGACCGTATTCCTATACGAGGTGCTACCCGACCAGGATGTGGAGTGTGGCTGAGGCAGCACTCTGTGTTGTTGTCTGGCTGCAAGAGGGTGCAGGACGCGGCGGGTATGGACGGGGGCCAGGCAGTGGAGGGTGCGCCTGAAGACGGAGGGGGGGGGGGGCTCTGAGGCACATCCGAGCGCTCTGAACATTGGGGGAAACAGGGGGTACGTGGTATACGCGGGCCAACCCAAATGTGTAGGAGGTGTGGGGGAAGGGGGCACCTGGCGGCAGCATGCGAGGCACGGATTTGTTATAGGTGCAAGGCGCTGGACTATACGGTGGAGGAATGCGGGGAGGCGGCCCGTTGCAAACTCTGCGGAAGCAGTGGGCACCTATATAGATCCTGCCCAGAATCTTATGCCAACAGGGTGCGGGCATACCGGAATGGACAAGCAGGGGAGGCGGAGAAGGAGATGGCCGAATGGGAATCGGACTGGGGGCTGGGTGGGGAAGAGGGAGGAGAGGCAGAGGAACCGATGTACCGGCGTGGTCACCCTCCTAGGCAGGAGGGAAATGAGGTTGGAAGGAACCCAGGAAGTGATACCGGGACGGCTCCTCAGCATGGATGTAAACTACCAAGGCGTGGAGTTTCGACTGTTAAACGTGTACGCCCCGGTACGGTGCATGGACAGGACTGAGGTGTGAGAGAGCTTGGCGGCCCTATTGACCACCAGGAGACAAGTCATCGTGGGGGGTGATTTTAACTGCCCGATGTACTTGGCGGACCTGGTATCGGTGAAGGGGAGGAGGAAACTAGACTCTTCCTCCAGGAAATTGAAAGAGTTGATGGAGGACCTTGGGATGGTAGACACGTTCAGGAAGGTGCACGGTGCACGGTCAGGGTTTACCTGGTCAGATAAGAGTGGGGGAACACAGTCGCGGATTTACTTTATTTTCGTCTCTGCCAGGGTGGAAGTGGGAAGTGCGGGGTGGAGCCTTTTCCACTCTCTGACCACAAAATGGTAGTGGCGGGGCTCGGGATCCCAGGTGGGGCGAGGAGGGGGAAAGGAGTTTGGAAAATGAACGTGGGCCTGTTGGAGGACCAGAAGGTGGTGGGAGATTTTGTACAAAAGCTGGAGGACATTGCAGGATTGTTTCCCCACGAGGGTGGAATGGTGGGGCCAGGTAAAGGATAGGATAAAAACGTTCTTTCAGCATCATAGTAGGAGGAAGGGAGAGGGTAGGGAATTGAGGCAGTGGAATAATAGGTTAGATAAATGTACAGGCTGTTAGAGCTAGGGTTCCCATGGGGAAAGGATAGGGGAGTTGAAAGGAGAGTAGCTTCAGCATTGGAAAGAAGGGTTAGGCAGTTAGTGTACAGAGCGAGGGTCAGGGCAACAGAGGAAGGCGAAAGATGTACAAGGTTTTTCCTTAAAGCAGGTAGGGAGGGTGATAATGCAATGAGGGAGTTGGTAAGCCCTACCAGGGGTAGACAGACGACGACGGTAGGGATGATAAGTGTAGCGGAGGATTTCCATAGGGAGTTGTATGAGAAGAAATGGATAGATGGAGGGAGGCGGGAGGAGCTGCTGGGGTAATTGTGGAAGAGGGTTGAGAACCCGGAGGCGCTAGAGGGAATGATTCGACAGGAAGAAGTGGAAGAGGCGGTAAAGGGGTTGAATAAGAACAGAACCCCAGGCCCGGACAGGATCCCAGCGGATTTCTATATCAAATTCTGGGAGCTCCTGAAAGAGGACATGCTGCAAATTTGTAGGGAAACTCTGGAGGAGGGGCGGGTGCCGGACGATATGCGGGAGGGCCTGGTCACGTTGATTTATAAAGGGAAGGGGGACCGTAAGGACCTAGGAAGTTGGAGGCCGATAACCCTCCTGAACGCGGACTACAAAGTCTTGGCAAGGATAGTCGCGGGG